ATGTGAATGAGTCTCTCTCAAAACTCTTTGTGGCAAATTGGCCCATTTCAAAAGTGGCGCTGATATATATTCATGATGGCTTGAACCCAGTTCGCGGTGAATTAGTATTCCTCGTCAAATGCTTAATCACTGTGGCGTTCATTTGAAATTCTTTCATTAAGCTAGTTCTGCTAAATTGCAGGTTGAGCTAAATGTCAAAAAGCAAAAGATAGAAATACCTGATTAGTTAAGCACCTAAGCACTCGCTTTTCTCCACTTGTAGCTGGTAAATGTATGCAGGGACGGGGACAATGTATTGTTTATGCCAAGTCTAGTAAGCTTGTGAGCCCCAGATAAATAATTGTAATTACAATTGCAAGGGGAAACAGCATGTATAGGCTTTGTTTAAAGGATATGGGAAAGCTGCTGGGAGCTATTGTTTGTGCTTTTTTCCATTCTTTACATTCAGCCTTTAGTTTTTGGATCTGCTGCTTTTATTATTATATTTATATCATATCATCATATTGCACATTATTGAGTAAGATAAGCAGAAAATGGATCCCTGCCTTGAGGAACTTCCAATCCCATGTAAATTTTAACAGTAACACAGGCTGGGAGAGGAAGACAGTGGAGAGTTGGAGGCGAGACAAGGGAAACAGAGGATGAACACATCCTATGGATGAGATTTCCCCCCCCAAAAAAATCCCCCTCATAAAAACGTCCTTCTCAATTTCTGAATGATCTTGTTTCCAAGGAACAAATGATGCACGAAGAACTCTCAGTCATACCTAACTTCTGAATTCTATACACAATATTGTATACACACAGTTTTCATTGCCTTCCGCCCCATTGGTTGGAACCTGCCAGGGTTCCCCATACGGAATCTGTGACCCTCCAAACATTGTTGGACTACAGCTCACATCAGTACTGGCCATTGACCATGTTGGCTGGGGGCTGATGGAAGTTGGAGTCCAACAAGATCTGGAGGTCTCCAGGTTCCCCATTTCTGAATTAGTTCATCCTTGTGCTCTTCTTTAATCAATGTGCACATAGAAGAAGAAGAAGAAGAAGAAGAAGAAGAAGAAGAAGAAGAAGAAGAAGAAGACTGATGCAAAGTCATATTAACAGAGCTTTTGTGTGAATGTAATCAGTGCCATAACAGCAACACAGAGGGGTATAGTTACAAATACAAATAAATTGAAGAAATAAAAGATTGTCTCTTTTTTTTACTTCATTTTCATTTTAGATCCCATTGCTCAATGGAAGCTGGTCCATTAGGTTGGTGGGACAGGGGCCCATCAGTTGTATCAAGTTGTATCAAGGTGGAGGTCAGGAGCAGGCCAGCAATAACTCACAAGGTGCCAGTGAAGTTAACTCTTAATTCAAAGAAACAAAACTGTTCTGACCTACTTATCACAGCAACTCTTCCCAGTAGGTCTTGCCCCAATGAGGCAGGTGCAAGGACTGACAGTCTCTGCCTTCCCAGCACTCACTAAGACTCCTCCTCCCTGGGTCCTCCCCCCAGCAATCAGAGACTCTTTCGTCTCTCTTTGCTCCACCCTCTTTGTTCCTTTTTGTGTTCTGGGAGATCAGGGTGGGGGGAAGCTGGTTGCAGCAGGAGGGGAGACTCCCTGGCTTCTTCAGCAACCTGCTCCCACTCCTTTCCAGCCTCCGCTTCTGCCTCTGAATCTAGACTTCTCTCTTCCACAGCCTCTTCCTGCTCACTAAACCCTGTTACCTCTTCCGCTTCCAACACCTCCTCCCCCCAATCTGCCCCCTCTTCTCCCTCTGACCACTCATCAGCATCCCACCTCCAATCCCCCAGCGCTGAGTCACTACCTGCCTTCCAGTCCAATGGGTAGCCCTGGCTGTCAGCTTCCTCCTCCTTATTGTAGTGTTGCCCTTGTGGAATTTAGCAGGGAAGAGGATAGCAACAAAACTTTAATTTGTTGACCATTGGCTCTGGCGCCACCTACTGTTGAACTCCCCACCTTCCACCCTATGAGCACCATCAATAACTCCCGTTGCTGTTCCATAATGCCATTCCATTAAATCTGGTGAAGAACAAAAATACAGCAGTGTTCCCTCTGTCTCCTGCTCTGTACACACACACACACACACACACACACACACACACCAGTGTTTGCTCTTTCCAACCCAATGTCTGGTGCAAACTCAAAATTGAAATGAGATTAATCTTTGAATTTGATTTGTCAGACCTTCGGGGCACAAGAGCTTGAGTGTTTGTTTTTAAATTACCACAAACCAATAATGGATTCTGCTTCTTAGTGACACAGTAAACAGTAAGGAGTGCAGAGACCACAATCAAGGCTATGGATCTCCAAATACCCTAAAATTGGTCAATTAAACTTTAACCCAGAAGATATTGGCTGGGAAGGGAAAGAAAACGTAAAAAAAAAAAAGACTTTTAAAACAGAACCAGGTATTCCTGCAATTTCTGGTTTGATTGTCTTTTAATTAGGCATTCTCAAGGAATTCAGTAGTTAAAGAATCCAGTACAAACTGCCCTGGATGATTGTGCAGATCAGAACAGGATTAATCCTTGCATTTCACTCTTCTCCAAATTTTGTAATGCAGTTTTCCATGCAAAAAGAAATGTACCAAACTGCATGTAAGATATGATGAAATACATTTAGAAGTGCATATTTTGTGAATTTAGATTTTAAATGTCTTTTAAAATATGAATATACCATATTTTTCTGTGTATAACACACCCCCATGTATAAGACGACCCCTATTATTTTGGACAGCAACAAAGAAAATTGAGGGGGAAACTGCCCAGAGTTGCAGAGTTGTTGAGCTTTTTTTGGGGGGGGACCGCAATCGCTCTGCAGCCTGCCCACCAATGATGCAAATCACACGCATTGCTGTAGCCCCCAATCGCCTGCACACTCGCCACCAAAAACCCACCTGCACACTTGGCGCAACCACAGCTGATTGTATCCGTGCCTCACTGCTGCCATAAATACAGTGGCGTAGCGTGGGTTGTCAGCACCCGGGGCAAGGCAAGTAATTTGCGCCCCCTAACCCGTGGATTTGCGCCCCCTAACCCATGGATTTGCGCCCCCTAACCCCCAGATGTTGCGCCCGGTGCGGCTGGGCCCCCCTGCACCCCCCACGCTACGCCACTGCATAAATAGCCCGCCCAATTGCCACAGCAGCAGCCAATCATCAGCAGGCCTTTCTACAGCAACCAATCACACACCCAGTCGCTGCTGCCAATCTCCTGCTAGCTGCTGCCAACAATTGCCCACTCCCCCTCTGCTATCTGTGTATAAGACGACCCTCAATTTTTGCCTATTATTTCTAAGAAAAAAATATTGTCTGATACGCAGAAAAATATGGTATATAGTTTCACAGTCACAGTCAGCATCCACATCCTCGGGCAGCTGCTGTGCCCTTGAAGCCTGGCAAGGCTGTCCAAGATTATTCCATTCATTCTTCTGCAACTGGCAGGTAGGGATGGGGGAGAAATTTGTTTCGGTTCCCATTTAAAGGTAAAAGGTAAAGGTAAAGGGACCCCTGACCATTAGGTCCAGTCGTGGCCAACTCTGGGGTTGCGGCGCTCATCTCGCTTTATTGGCCGAGGGAGCCGGCGTACAGCTTCCAGGTCATGTGGCCAGCATGACTAAGCCGCTTCTGGCGAACCAGAGCAGCGCTCGGAAACACCGTTTACTTTCCTACCGGAGCGGTACCTATTTATCTACTTGCACTCTGACGTGCTTTCAAACTGCTAGGTTGGCAGGAGCTGGGACCGAGCAACGGGAGCTCACCCCGTTGCGGGGATTCAAACCACCAACCTTCTGATCGGCAAGTCCTAGGCTCTGTGGTTTAATCCACAGTGCCACCCACATCCCTATTTAAAGGTAAACCTATCTAATTCACAATTTCCAAAACAACATGCAAAGCAAAACACAACTTTCGAAATCTGCACTTCTCCACATTTTCCAGTGTGCTTCTCCAGCCAAGTAGTGTACAATGCAATGCATACATCAGCGAACAATGCATTGCATTGGGGGAAATTGCTTTGTAAAAAAATGTATACATTGGAGGGATTGCATATAAAAAATGTGTATATTTGTAAGAAATTAGCACTAAAATGCTGGTGAGCTTTTGTGAGAATCTTTTTTGTTCGTTCGTTTGTTTGTTTAATTCACAAATTGGTATGGAAATGTAGAGAGCTGGTTGGAAAAAGGAGAAGCAAAAATTGAGAGATTTCTCTCTCCCTACCAGCAAGATCCAATCACTGCCACCAGAGGGCCTCACAAATCGTGAGAGAGAGCACCAATGTCACTGGCTTTTTTTACCCGATAGGACACAGTTTTCCTGGTTGGGTTTACAATATACCAACTGGATCTCCATTCTATAGAGGTGGCATGGGAAAGACGGAGCATATGGCCTTTTGCTAGGAATGTTTCTTGGACTGATTTGCCGAGATTTACGAGTGCTCGAGAGCTAAACATGAGAATGTATCACTGTCTGGCACCGCAGACATAAAAAGGATAAGTTTGAGAGTCATATTCAATCTGCTTTTGTTTTATGGACCTCTTTATAGAAGGAGCGCGGCAGGCGCGAGCGAACTGTGTGCCTCCACAGATGTTTGCATGCATTTACCCGTCTTAGCGCACAATGAATGACAAGGGCCCAGTTTGGAATGCAGAGGATGCAGCTTAGGACAATCGTAGAGGGAGAAGGAGGACAATGAGAATGGAGAGGAGGGGGGTTGGAGGGAAGAGAAAAAGCGTTTGCCAGAAACATGGCATCAAGCTTAGACTTTGAATCAAAGGCTAAACAGTGTGTGCATGGATAAACAGACCCCGGCAGATACAAATAGCCATCTGTTGCGATGCCACAAAGAGAAACCCGTTTCAAAACACACACACAAATTGAGAGCGTGTTCTGGATTTGCATTGCCTCCTGCTTTCACTCATTCGTCTGTTGAATCATAGAACTGTAGAGTTGAAAGGGACCACAAGGCTCACCTAGTCCAACCCCCGCAATGCAGGAATCTTGCCCAGCGTGGCACTCGAACCCACAACCCGGACATCAACAGTCTCATGCCCTACCAACTGAACTATCCCAGCTGCTATGAATGAGATGTTGGTTAATCTGACAAGCAGCTAATGAGCAGAGCTGAGAACATGAGGCTGCTGTCAATTTAGCAAAAAAAAAAGGGAAGGGTATTGTATTGTTTATTTACCTTGCCTGGTTATTTGAAGTAACGGTTTCATAGCTTTCTGCAAAGATTTATACAGTGTTGAGAAGTTGCTCATTCATAGATCCCCTCCCCAGGCTCCAATATGCCATTGTTTTTATGAATTAACATCTCCTTCAATGCTCAACTGTTCTGTGTAGTCTTTGACTTAATTGAATTGAATTGAAATACTTTATTTCCACTTGTACAACTTGTATACAGTGAGATTACATGAGCACCCCCTACTCAGCTCTCTTAGTCTTAATTTCCCTCGTTTACTGATGTGCACCCACCAAACCCGAAAGTCAGTTGCCCTATTGTTATCTTTTCATTCAGCAGCCTAACAGCCCGTGGATAGAAGCTATTCTTTACCCTGTTGGTGCGACTAATCATGCTTCTATATCTTCTGACTGAGGGCAGAAGATCAAGAAAGTGCCGGCCAGGGTGTGAATCATCTCTGAGAATTTTCCTCACTCTCCTGAGGCAACCTTCTAACAATGTAATCCTAACTATCTGCGCTGTGCATTGAAAGCAGTATCATACCAAGCAAGTATCATACCAGTATCAGACCTGCCCTCTGCCTGCCCCTCAGGGCTGGCACGTCACATAAATCTAGGCCTCAGCAGCAACAGCCGCTGCCTCCCCTCCACCTCACCCACTCTCCAGAGCCCCTATGGGCAGTCCAAGGGGGGAGGCCAGCAGCAGCAGAGATGCCATGGAGGGGCAACAGGATACTCCTTTACTACTACCACTGCTCAGGATGAGTGCCGGCTCATCCTCTTCCCTAGCACGAGTGGGGAAAACAGGGACATTCCGATACGTTACGATACGATAATCTTTATTGTCATTGTCCCATACAGAACAATGAAACTGGGAAAAAAAAATCTACATAAGACATTCAAAACCAAGAAGCCTGCTATCCCAGCTATCCCAACCTGGTTAGCCCCCTAAAAACTCTGACACCCCGTTTTTAAAATACAATATATTCCCATAGAGACTCCTTACACTGTGTTTAAAACCAAAATCACATTTGGATAGAAACTGTTTCTCAGGCGGCTGTTCCTAGTATTTATAACCCTGTACCTTCTTCCAGAAGGCAGAAGCTGAAAGAGATCATTTCCAGGGCGCGCACTATCCTGCGCTATCTCTGCAGCTTTCTTATGACACCTGGAAGCATAGATTTGATCCAGGGTGGGAAGAGTGCACCCAATTATTCTCTCCGCAGTCTACAACCCTGGACAGCATTGCTCTTTCCCTGACCGTACAGCTCCCAAACCACACACACAGACCATAAGTTAATACACTCTCAACAGTACAATGGTAAAATGTCATCAACAGGTCCTTTGAGAGATTGTTCCAGTATCAAATCAGAAGCCAGGATGGCATTTGTAATTCCAGGACTGTCCCTGGAAAACCAGGACACTTGGAGGTTATGTCACAATGGTCTATCATTACAGCTCAACCCTGTCTACTCTGGCTAGGTAGTGGCTCCTCAAAGACTTCCTCTTTCCATATGAACCTACCCAGACCCTGAGATCATCTTCTGAGGCCCTCCTTCGTGTGCCTCCTCCTTGAGACATTCGGAGGGCGACAACATGAGAACGGGCCTTCTCTGCAGTGGCTCCCCGTCTGTGGAATGCTCTCCCCAGGGGAGTTTGCCTGGCACCCTCATTATACACCTTTAGGCACCAGGCAAAAACATTCCTCTTTAACCAGGCCTTTGGTTGATCCAACTTACATCCTATGCCCTTTTAAAATGTGGGGGTTTTTGGAGGGGGGTATTGCTGTTTTTAGGGGATTTTTTTCTGTGAACCGCCCTGAGACCGCCGGTTATAGGGCGGTATATAAATTCAATTAATTAATTCATTAATTAAAGAGCATAAGTGCTGAGCTTGCTGGATCAGGCTAATGACCCATCTAGCCCTACAACCTGCTCTCACGATGGCCAACCCAATGCCTATCGGAAGTGTGCTAGCAGGACATGAGTGCAACATCGCTCTCCCCTTCTGTGTTTTCCATCAATTGGCGTTCAGGAGCCAAACGTTTCCAATTGAGGGTTTTGCATCTGGAGCCAGGAACCAGTAGATCCCACCCTTGTCCCTTGTCCCACCACCCTTGTCCCTTGCTTTTGGAACTTGTCCTCTGCCACTGAGCAATGAAACCTTCGTTTTGCACTAACCAGGAGCTATGTTGTCCATTATATCCCCTTTTCTCAACCGTTTCTCATGCAGCATCTTAGCTCTGCTACAACAGCTTCTGACAAGCAACCGAGCTATTGAAACCTGCGCATCTTTCAGTGCTGTGATGGTCATAATTATAGTTGCAATAGCAGTGATGAATGGTCAGGTGGGCTGCCCTTGCATCACACTAAACCCCGTAAGATTGCCCAGCTTGGCTTATTTATCCTACCGTAAATCATCCGACATCTGTAAGTAACTTCCTAGACTTGGATCCTTCCAAACACATCCTTCCATAGCAAGATAACTCAAATAAATTTAAAGGTCACTAAAGAAGTATTTGAAATATGCCCTGCCTTCCGAAAATCCCAGCAGGAAACCAAGCTGAGACTTATTGGAATCGACATTATAAACAGCTGCTTAGGAATGTTAAGTGAGATTTACATAAATTCATATTGTGCGAACTTCCTGCTTTGCTTTAATTTACACAACCATGTTTTGTTTTGTGCCGAGGGACAGAAATCTGGCACGACTGGCGCCAAAGTAAATGCAATCTGTTAGGTGGCTGTTGCTTGTTTCCTTTTTCAAAGGCTGCTCAGAGCAATTCTAAAGGGTCCCCCCCTCCGCTTTCCACCAGAAATCTGTTTTGATTGAAATCCCCTTTTGACTCCCACTTTCCCCAGCCGACTGAGCACTTTGTGAAATCTACAGTTCCACGCTAAGTTTCCAAGAAGATACCCCATGATCTGCATGTGGGAAAATAAAGGGTTTTTGAAAACCCCATTGCCTTTCGCAGAACAGTGCCCATGTAGATGTAATGTTGTGAGATTATCAGCCCAAGTCTGCAATTTCTCCCCACCCCATGGAATTGCCTCTTTCTCTGCATTGGTTAATAAGAAAATATAATAATTATTATTTATACCCCGCCCACCTGCCTGGGTTTCCCCAGCCACTCTGGGCAGCTTCCAACAGAATATAAAAAAGACAATAAAACATCAAACATTAAAAACTTCCCTCAACAGGGCTGCCTTCAGATGTCTTCTAAAACTCAGGTACAGTAGTTGTTTATTTCCTGGACATCTGATGGGAGGGCATTCCACAGGGTGGGTGCCACTACCAAGAAGGCCCTCTGCCTGGTTCCCTGTAACCTCACTTCTCGCAGTGAGGGAACCGCCAGAAGGCCCTTGGAGCTGGACCTCAGAATGAGCATGACGTGTCCCCCACCAGAGATACTACCCCTCCCCTAACACCCCATATACCCCAACACCCCAAAAAAAATCATTTTAAGGCACACTAGAGCAATGGTGGGGAACCACACAGGTCAGGGGCCCACTGTGGCCCCCATTCCTCTCCATCTGGCCCTCAGAACTGTCCACAGTCCCCACACACCCCTGCTTTGCAACTACAATAGAAGGTGCCCTTGAATTAGGGTGGCCATATTTCAAAAAGTGAAAATCCCTATTTCAAAAAGTGAAAAGCTTTTAATTGGTGTGGGGGAGGCAAAGGTGTTGAGCGATTTCCAGCCGGACACTGTTTTCGACTGCCGAATCCCAGCTATGTCTGGGAAATTCTGGATGTGTGGCAACCCCTAACTTGAATTATACCTTGTTTGCCTGGATGAAGAAGAAGAAGAAGAAGAAGAAGAAGAAGAAGAAGAAGAAGAAGAAGTTTGGATTTGATATCCCGCTTTATCACTACCCGAAGCAGTCTCAAAGTGGCTAACATTCTCCTGTCCCTTCCTCCCCCACAACAAACACTCTGTGAGGTGAGTGGGGCTGAGAGACTTCAGAGAAGCGTGACTAGCCCAAGGTCACCCAGCAGCTGCATGTGGAGGAGCAGGGAAGCAAACCCAGTTCACCAGATTACGAGTCCACTGCTCTTAACCACTACACCACACTGAAGGATAGAGAGGGGGGTTGTGAAGTTGTATAGAAATAGTACAAAAGTTTTTTTAAAAAAAATCATTTGTTGCTCTTTTGCCTCTAGCTCAGCCCACCACTGGAACACGGGCCTCAGAATGTTGCCTAGGAGGGAATGTGGGCCCCGGGCTGAGAAAAATACCCCACTCCTGCCATAGGAGTAGGAAGTTCTCAAAGGCACATCCGATGATCTCTCGTTCCTAAGGAAGTCCAACTCAGCAGATAAGCACTGAAAGAAGGGACACATTAACAGTGTGCTACCTTGATTTGGGAATATTCCTGTAAGGATGAAAGGGAAGACCAATTTCCTTTCCTTCTGACAGCGAGCTTTTGTTTATCTTATCCTTCCTTCAATATTTCAAAAAGGCATCAATACCGAGGATTGGGTGCTATGCAAATGTATTTAAATCCAACCAATTAACTGATGAAACTCTTTAAAAGGCAGGTGATTAATCAACTCCAAAGTCTTCAATCACTTGACAGCCCTAATAAATACATAACATTATGTAGCTGAGCTGCAAAACTCGTGCGGAGAACTTTAAAATCTCTTTTTAGGTATTTCCCTGTTCCTAAATATGATATACATATGCTTATGCTATTTTCACACTTGCATCTAGGATATTTACAGAGTGGACTTGCAAATGTATTTATTAAAATTACAGCATGGAATGAAGATCTTTTCACACAAATCCACACACGCATGCTTGTCACTTTGCCAGCAATTCTGCATAAAATATTAGCCGAGGTACCATTAAAGGGCATTAAACTTCTTCAGTCGTTTCAGGAGGGAATAA